CTTGTCACCTCTCCTCCCCAGTAATACAAACAGACATTTGTTCACACCAAACTGAGCAAATCTAATATTTATTTCACATTTAGGTCACAGGACATCAAAACAAATACTTTTACCCCAAACAGATTTCCTGACCTTGTGGTTTCATTCGTGATTTGCAGTAATATTTGTCCAAAGAGATGTCTTGCTCTCACTTAAAAATGAAAGGAAAAGAAGTTATATAGGGTCCTGCACTCAGCTTTAAGGTGCACAATTGCTTGTGCACCCAAATCACCTCTGGATTCCACTCTTGATTTCACTGGAATCAGGACAAGATCATTAAAGTCATATTTCCTGCATTTGTTCACTCCTTTTCATCCCTGAAAACCAAAATTATTTAAATATGTAAGTCCAAACACCCCAAATGCAAAGCATTAAAAATTATATTTAACAATCTTGGCCCAAATAGTGGCTGTGGGGCCCCTGTCAAATATGAGACAATCCCATTGCTTGTAAAGATGCTTTTTTTTACAGATTATTTTTTTCCCTTTCAGCCCTCCTGGGCCAAGGATCACGTTAACACTGCTCCTTTGAAAGCTCTGAAGGGCTCTGTACATGGAAAATTGACCTTTTTTTCAGTTAAGTTTGAACTAGTTTTAAGGCAGAAACTGCTGAAGAGAGAATTTCAAAAGCTTAAGAAATCTAATGGTCCCTTATGGCTTGCAGTAATGAGTAAGATAAAATGCTCTTTCTGGTTTCCTTCCCCCTGTAATTGAAATAGTTGCTGCACTGGGGCTGCAAAAGTGCTGCCCAATTATCACCCAGCCAGGCTGATTTACATCTCCTGCTCAGCCTCAGCATGGTGGGAAATGCTCAGGAGGGTCAGAGTAAACATATTTATGTCCTGGTGGGATGTGCTGAGCTCCTAATATCAGGATAATAATATTATATATGTAGACATGTATGTGGATATATGTCTAAAAATCAAGCTAGGCAAACTTTCCCTGTGAGGGCACAAAGAGCTGGGGCACAGCTACAGGCTGGGAAGCACCTGGTTCACCTCAGTGCTTGGATTTTAGTTGCATTGTGGATGTGATCCTCTTTTACTGGCACATCCCAGCTTCCCTTTGGAAGGTTTGAGCACCAGGGCACTGCTTGAACTATTGGTCAGGTAAACACAGACTAGCCCCAGTCTCATTAGGGTCATTTCTCACATTGACTTGCTGGTGGCTGCCCTTCAGGGCACCTCTGCCACCCCACAGAACCCTCCCAAATGAGTTGGCTTTGCAGAGCCACGCAATATTTCACAGGTAAATGACAGACTGCCCACGTGGCTGTGGGTGGGAGGAGAAGGAGGCTGTGGCCACCACATGAAGCCCCACTGGCACAATTCCTGATGTGTTTGAAGAGTCCAATACCAAATTCCACAGGATCCCCACTCTGCATTTCAATTTCATCAGTGTAAACTCCTCAGAGGTGTGCAATAGGAATGCCATCACATATCAGACATTTCAGGAAGTCTCTGTAATTTCTTTAATTATTCAGACAACAGAGCACAAGGATAATAGCTTCAAGTACATTCTTATACATTATTTTGACAGTAATAGATATGTATTTAGTCATAAACTATTCTGTAGCCACCACTATGTGTACATTTTATACAAACTATTGCCATACTTGGACCCTGAAAACGGACAGTGACATCTCCTAGATGTTTTGCACAAGGTTATGACAGTACATCCTTCATACAAGAGCTGTGGCTGTGGGTTGGATTGGCCCATCTAAGGAAGCACTTCTAACACACCACAGAGGGGTGATCCTGATGAGAGGAGCCAGAGGGAGAGGTGGAATTCAGACACGGTGAGAGGAAGACGTAAAGCTGCTTGGAGTAAGTGCGACGGGAAATGTGGCACAGCGTTTCTCTGCTCAGTGAAACAGGCTGATCCCGGTGTAAGAGCATCTAGGCTTCTCTCACACCACAAAGATCTGAGCTCATCTCGGCCTTTGGGTGAAGATTAAATGAGGCAATGTCTGGTGTGGTCCCATCCAGGCATGTGCCCTGCCCTGACACAAGTGTGGACTCTGGTCTGATGGCTCTTAAACATCTCAGTTGCAATTTAGATTGAAGCCCTCCAGCCAGTGCCTTTAAGTTTGATCATTGACATCCCTGAACACCTCCACCACCCAACCTCTGGAGAAGGCACCTTCCAACACGATCATTTCTTTGAGTGTAGAGGCCTTAAAAAATGGCAACCACCTCTCAGAGACAGGGTAAAAGAACTCAGACACCCAGATGCTGCCAAACTAAGGCCAGACTCTTACAGCAGAGACTCATTTGTTCCACGATCACATTCTCACATGCCCCAAATCATCTGGATTTGCAGCCCTCAGCACACCCCAAAGACAAGGAGGTGGCAGAGTCCAAGCTGGGGTGGGGAGCAGGTCCTCAGCACCCACCAGGCAGTCCACAGTCCCCCGTGATGCCTCTCATTGGGTAGGCCTGAGGGTTGGTTCCTCTCCTGGTGCTGCAGCACACTGTGGTCACTCCAAAGTCTCATCACCTTGGCCATGTCCAAGCTTTGGAGGTTGGAAGTGGGGCTGGACTAGAGGTTGACAGGAAGGAGAAACCACATCCATCTGTCAGGGCTTCACACAGCAGTGCTCGTGTGTGGAACTCGGCCTCCAGCTCCTGACTGCGCTCCAGAAGCTCCTGGGATTTCAGCGTGGAAGGGCATGGTTGACACTCTCTGGAGATGGCCGCAGGCAGGCATGTTCTGGGAGGCTGTGGAGCTGCCATCCATCCCAGCAGAGAACATGGCTGTGTCTCTGGAGCAAAAGGCCTGGTGGTGAACATCCTAGACTGGCAAGTAATGGAAACCAAAGAAAAGGTGAGAAGACATTCAAGGCAAGCTCCCTTCTGGCACGGTCCCGTCGCAGACGCGCACACACATGCACACAAAATGTTTTGCAAAATTTTTAAAGGGATCCTGGAAACCCTCAATGGAGGAGCACGTGGTGCAGCAGAACCTCACTGATCAGCACCTGTCGAGGATGATCCCCTCAGGGTGGGTTGGGGCTGGGACCAGGCAGGTGATGCAGTGCTGGCTCCACCACTCAGCTCCTAAAGCACGTCTCCAGCACATTCACCCATGGGTGGCTGGGGACAGACTCCTGCATTACAGCTAAGGAATGCCTCTCAGCATAAATGAACAAATCTTTATCCTTTTGTTTGTTTTGCAAAGGGTGCTTTGCTCTGTTCTCAGTGGCCCCAAGCTCTGTGCTGTTACTCAAAGCAGCCAGTGAAATCTGGTGGATCTCATTATCCTTCTTCCAGCATCAGCCACATGAACCCCTCTAACTCATCAAAGTCAATGTCTCTCCCTCAGATTTCCATCTTCTGGGCACCCAGATTGAAGCCCACTGAAATCCCGGGGTTGCCACAAGGCAAAGGCAGCTTCCTGCCTTCACATTAATGCACTTCAAAGAGAAAACTTGATTTAGCATCCTCAGAAATCAATTTTCAGAGCCAGTCTATAGTCTCCATTCCAGACTGGGAAGTGAGCATGGAGTCAGGGCTGGAGCTGGAAGAGAGGAGCATTGCCTGAGCAGGGGTGGGGAGCCAGGGCTCTGGCAAAGGGAAACCCGTCTGCTGGTCACTCGTGCAAATAAGTGAGGTTCTACTGTCAGTACAAGAGATTCCAGGTTATGCACAGATGTGATGGATTTGTTTCCTTAATTAAAGTACCAAAATTAAATGTTATAAGCAACACATCTAAATAAAATAAAGGGCACTCATTTAGGTATCATGTTTCCTAAACCAACAAGCAAAAAGGAAAAAAAAATGGGATGCACCAGGAACTCTTAGTTATTATATACTAACCAAACTGTGCATGGCACATTTTATTTCTATAAAACTATTAAAACTATTACAAAATATTCAAAAATACATTTTAGTAAATTTACAGCAGTTATTTCTCAATTTATTAATGCAAAACATCCTTTTCCCCCCTCTGTACAAACTACCATCTCCATCGTCACAGAATTGCCGCCATGTGCGCTTTTTAAAAAATATTATTTTCTAATAAACTTTTTCTGAAGTTAAAAATAACAAAGTTTCTTACGGTTTTTGCAAATAAAAAGTTTGTGTAACAGTCTCGACTTCCATGAACTTCCATGAACGTGGCCAAATGATGTTTTTTACAAAGCAAAACATGGAAAACAATACAGGAAATGATGTTACATTTGCAACTATTTAAATTAAAATAATATATTCTCATATTTTACACTATTTCAAAAAACGAAATGTGATTCAGTTAAGTATTGATCTCTCAAAAAAATCTAATTTACAATTCTGTGTATAAAAATATAATTTACGGACCCCCATGAAGTTTGTCTTTTTTGTGTGTGTTTGTTTGTTTGTTTGCTTGTTTTTTAGACTTGCTGAAATGAAAGAGCAATGTAATGGAGAGATGGGAAAGTACAGAATTTTGCTTTCTGAAAGTCAGGACACACGTGACATGTAGAAAAATAGACTCTGCGCAGTTTTGCTTGGCCTCACAAAATAATTTTTTCTCCTGTGAGTACAGTTCACATGATAATAAATTATCAAAGAAACTATTTAAGGCTCTTGAAGGTCCGGTTCATATCATTTAAAACATCTATTCAAAATACCAAAGAAATAAATATCCAGGAGTGGAGGAAAAAAAAAACAACCAACAAACAAAACAAAAGAACAAATAAAAATATATATATTTATAAACTAAACAGAACAGAACTTCCAGGGGTCTTTGTTTCCCTTTAAGTCTACTTTGGACTGTCCTACTTAATTATTATTATTTTATTATTATTATTTTTAAGTCTTAATCCGTGCTCTCTTTTAAAAATATGTATTTTTTCCTTTTTTTTTTTTTCTTTTAGCGTTTTCTTTTTTTTTTCTCTTTTTTTTCTCTCCTTTCTCTCTCTCTCTCTCTCCCTCGGTGTCTCTGTCTCTCCGTTGGAGCCTGGCGGGCTGGCGCGGGGTGCCCTCAGCTGGACGACACCATCATGCCCAGCGGGTGCAGAGAGTCACTATCCAGCACCCAGCTGCCGATGCGGTAGAGGAGCCGAGAGTACCAGTGGATGCCGGGGGCCGTGGGGTCTCCCATGGGGCACCCCATCCCGGCGGGACAGAGGGCGGCCAGCAGGGCCTGCAGCAGGCGGAAGGGAGCGAAGGCCCAGTGTGCCCAGCTGTGCTCCTCGATGACGGCGTAGCACGAGGCCAGCACGCGGTCGATGAGGATGGTGCCCTGGGCGGTGAGCGGCGCGTAGGCTCCCGACGCCTCCTCCCGCAGCGACACGCGGTGCACGGCCGCCGGCAGCAGCCGCCGCCCGCCCTCGCCCAGCACGAAGACGCGCTGGCCCGGCCGCACGCGGCTGGCGAACAGCGCCCGGCCGCCGGCGCTCCCCGCCTCCGACTGGTTCTGCTGGGGGGCCACGAACAGGAGGTGGGCGGCCGTCAGCAGCAGCCGGGCCCGGGGCTGCCGCGTCTCGATGACGTAGAAGAGCTTGTGGGAGCCGTCCTCGCGGTCAAGGAAGGTGAGGAAGTCGCTGTAGAGCAGACGGCCTTCGGTGTCGGCCACCAGCACCCGGTCTCCAGGCCTCAGGTCCTTCACCAGCTTGGTCCCACCTTTCTCCAGGTGCACCGTAGCCGAGCCGGGGAAGCAGCCACCAGATTTGGCTGCCACTGAGTTTTCTGTGTAAGGAGAGAGGCACAGCAGGGTTAGAGGAGGCACACGTGTATTTTTTTTCTTGCCCAGGATGGGGCATGGGAGCATGCAGGAACTTATTGCTTCCCCAGCCACCCCAACCCACCAAGAAAGCTCAGGAGACAGCCTCTGAAATTCCTCCACCCTCATTTATGAGCATGCCCCATTTGTACTCAGTGGGTCAAGTGAGAATCCCCTTCCTGCCAGATCTGAGCCAGTGCAAAATCTCCTCTAGGTTAGGAGTTACAAGAGTGATTTGTCTCGTAAGGGAAATGAGCCAAAATATTTCCACTGAGAAAACTGTTCCAGAACAAAATCTCTTCTGGAAGAGCTTCCCATTTGGCTACTGTTTACCCTGCACTGACACCTGATGCCAGATAACTTGCAGGCTTTCAAAGCCGAGTCATTTTGCTGGCATGAAGTTTCTTCTCTAAGCAAGTGCCTATGCTCTCCATGCTCAGGGTCCCCACTCAGCTCTTACTCAAGGACCACATCTAGGGCAGCAAACAGCAAAGAACAGGAGGAGACTTCGCCCCAGGTTGCCCACAAATTTTGCCACTGCAAAGCCACAACGCAAATTTCCCAAATCCCCCTGCATAGGTCTGCACAAGCCCCCATGCTGCCTCCAGCCTTCCTGCTCAGCATGGTGGCTACTGGGGCACATCTCACACTCACAGCACCTTGCCTGGCATCTCCAGCACTCTGCTTCAATCCTCTCCCAAAAAAGAAAGAAATCTCTCCCTCCCTCCTAGGAGAAGCATGCTCTTCCCTGCCTCAGAGCGTGTGGTCCCAGAGCAGCCCAACACTGTGCCAGGCCCAAGCAAATGCCTCCTCCTGAGTAACTCTTGGGAGTTAGTCAGAGTTTAGAGCAGCTTTTGCTGCTTTCCTGTGCTACTGAGAGGAACAATCTCAGACTTAAAGAAAGCAAAAGTAGCAATGAGACTCTGTCTCTCTTGTAAATCACTTTTTGGAAGTTCAGCCACCTGTGGGGTGGTGGGAAAAGAAGTCTGCTGTGCTCCAGGCTGATCTCTGTCTTAACAGAGGGACTTGCAGTGCTCCTAACCACTCTGGTTTTTTTTTAAATATTGGTTAATATCCCACAGTATGTCATGGTAGCAAGTGTTGAGATTCCCCGTCCCTCCCTTGCCTTTCCCTGCTTTCTCTCAGTTACTCCCTATACCAGTCAAGAGACCTGCTGATTTAGATCCTAAAGATGGACAGATTTTATATTTTGTCTCTGTGACTGCTACAGAAATTCCTATGATTTAAACAAATCCTTGGAGTGTCCCCTAATGACTTTCTCAGGAAGGACAGGAAGGGTGAAAATTAGACCGTTATTGATTTGCTAATGACTTTATCACTTCTCTTTCAGAAATGAGGCAGCAAGATCTCCAAGGCCTCCCTCTTCAGGGAGGACATGGCAACAAACAAGCTATGTGCTTTATGTGGAGGCCTCTGCTAGTAAACTACACCTTCCTACAAGCTGGCAGTAAAGGTCTGGCTAGAGCTTTGTTTGCATATTCAGGGACTTGATGAATAGATGTAGTAGTGTAGCAGCTCTACAAACATGCCAGTGAATTCGCAGAGGTGTGAAAATCTGCTTCTTTGAGCAGCGCTTGTTTGGGTTCTCTAATTAAAATCCAATAAAGGATCAGCATTGTCATTCTGATTCATGTAATAAATGCAGACACTCTTGGAAGAGAGGACACTTCCATTTTTTTCCCAGCTTCTTCCCCCCCTTTTCTCCCCCTCCCTATTTGTTCAGGTGCAGAAACCCTATGTGCCAATTCACACACATACTCTCCAAAAACCCAGGACCTTCCAAGCACTATTTGCACAGCAGAGCCACTTTTCCAAGGCACTCAAGATCTGTATTTGAATTTTAAATGTAGAAGCTTGCTCTAAATACTTGCTGTAGCGCATTATCAATGTCCCTTTTACCACCCCTGCCTCTCCCTCCTCTGTTCTGGTGACAATAATTCAGGCCTTGGGGGAACTCTTCTTTGCATTCCAGTCTCCTGGATCATACTTTTTGCAAACAGAGATCTAGATAAAGAATCTTCCTGCTGGCATTATGGGATTTAATCTTCTCATGAGATGCTCTGTCATGAAATGAGGTTTGGACAGTTTAAGATCAGGCTGAGAGAGTGGAATTCAAGCCTGCTCCCTTCAGCCTGCCTCGTACAGTCACACGACCCTGCCTGACACCCTCCAAATATTGCCCCCGAGTCCTTGTGTGCCGAATCTCAATGAGCAGCTTGGGGTGGCTCCCGTCCTGTGAAACACCCCTGGGGTGGATTAGGAGGTGCTCCTGGGCTAAGGTCACCACACACCACAATCGGACACCTTGCGCTACAAAGCCCGTCTCGGCTATTGAAAGGGGAGCTTCAGCTCTCCACACAGCTGACAGCTTTGCAGGGCCTCTTTTCGCCTAGAAAGGACCCAGGAACTGAACAAAAGCAGTAGCAGGCTCTCAGGACAAAGCCCACATGGGCCAGGAGAGGTGCTCAGCCCCTGGGGAGCTCTGGGATGGAATGAGGGACGTGAACCCCTCCTGCAGGTGGGCACGGCATGGCTGGGCTGTTTCCCTGCATGGGTTCGAAGCAAACAGCTATATTTAAAGAAAGCCCATTATTTTCTTTTGCAGCCAAGTGTCTCCTGACACATCCAGCAGGTTGCTGGGCTAGGGTATGCTCTTTTTAAAAGAGCTTTCGGTGTCATACAGCTGGATGGAGCGAGGCGGTGGAGCTGGGGGCTGTCACTCGCTGACAGATTTGCTCCACCAAAAAACGTGTCAAGTGTCAAGAAAAGAAACTCTGCGAGTCGGGGATTTCTTGCGAGCTGTTCCCGGGTTGAGACAGCGTGTGGCGTTGTAAGCACAGGGGAGGGGAGGAAAAAAAATTATGTGTATGTGTATCCCTATCTGGGAATTTCCTAGCGGCTACCGCTGAAGGAGGCTGGGGACCACGTTACTTATTTATTTTCCTGGCCGGCTCCCACTCGGAGATTAGCGCTCGCGAGTAAGGCGTGCAGCCAGCGGGGCGGCTGGAGACGGCCACGAGTGTTTGCGTTGAACACGCTCCTTGGATGGGGAAAGCATCAGACCCCACGGGGGGAGGAGAAGGGTGTGTGGCTGCGGCGCAGCTCTCGTGGGGAGGCTGGCCAAGAAAATCACCCAAATAAAAATGCTGTGAAAAACTGCTGCAGCTGGCTGGGCTTTGTTTTTTTCCTTTTCCCTCACTCTTTCCTTTCCGCCACCTCTGCTCCGACGGGGTCGCTAAGAGGCGGGGGAAGGCTCCCGGGGCTCTGCTCCCATCCCCTATGGGTATCCTGCAGGGACAGAGGAGGGAGCCCGGCGGCAGACACAGGCCACAGGAGGCTCTAGGGCGCTGAGTCGCTGCCCTGGGATGTCTCCCCACCTCGGCACGTCCCTTACCTGCTTTGACGGAGCAGTGGATGTGCGCCTTGGACTCGTAGTAGACCCAGTCGAAGCCAGCCTCGACGGCCAGGCGAGCCAGCATGCCGTACTTGCTGCGGTCCCGGTCCGACGTGGTGATGTCCACGGCGCGGCCCTCGTAGTGCAGGGACTCCTCGGAGTGGTGGCCGTCCTCGTCCCAGCCCTCGGTCACCCGCAGCTTTACCCCGGGCCACTGGTTCATCACCGAGATCGCCAGAGCGTTCAGCTTGTCCTTGCAGCGCTGCGGGGACACGGGCGGATAGGCAAGGGTCATTGTGGGGGCGCTGCAGCCAGGGGAACACCCCCCCCCTTCGTTATCGATACCCCCTGGGCCGCATCCCGCTTCCCTCTCCCGTCAAAGAGGCGGCATTCCTGCCCTCCCTGCCAAAGACGCGGCACTCCTGCCCTCCCTGCCAAACGCGCCCCAGGATGGGCTCAGCCAGGGCTGAGCATCTTCACCTCCGCTGCCAGCGAGGGACGGGGCGGTGGGTGAGGAGGGGGAGAGTGAAGCCTGGGCACACGGGATGAACAGAGACTCAAACATCACGAAACACAGGGACGGAGCTTCTCCCTGGCCTGGCACCTGCTGCGGGCACAGGGGGACCCCCCTCTGCCGGCGCTGGCGATTCAAAGGCACCTGCACGGAGCAAATTCCTGCCGCTAAGTGCCCTGTCCCTTCCCGAGAGCAAAGTTTCTGCCCAGAACAAACACTCGCCATATATCTCAGAGTCACGGATTCCCCCCCCGGAATGTCTCTGCGGGTCTTTTCAGCTTAATTCTGTGTTGAAAAGGGTATCAATACATGTTAACAGCCTTTATGTGCTGGAGGGAGGGGTGTTTTTTTTCTTCTCTCCCTTCGCCCATCACTCATTAGAGCCCTCAAAGCTGCATGGGCTGGGAGCATTCACTCTGCTTCAAACATACATCGGCGCTCGCCTACAAAGCCGAGCAAATCCATACAATAATATAGCTCTTAGTGGGAAGATGAAAAGCAAGGGAGGGCCAAGGAGGGAAGTTAAGCGGAGCAGGGATGCTATGCAAGCTAGGAGCCCCTTTGTGTGGAGTGAAACCCTTCCAACTCCGTGGAGAAAGTAGTGCAGGGTTTTTCATTGACCCTCCAGAGCCACCAGCCTTCCCTGGGCTGAACTGGGCCCAGCAGCACCGGGAGCACGTAGGGATCGAGTAATGAGGGACACAGGACAGGGGAAAGTGAGGAAAAGAGGGGAGCTGAAACCCTGAAAGTTTTGGGGAGATTCCCATCTTAGCCAGGCGGGGAATAGACACAGTGGCGACAGGGGAAAAGGACTCTCAGCCCGGCAGAAACTGGAAATCAGCACCGAAAGCATTGAAAAGCACTTGACTAAAGGCACAGAGTTAGAAACACACACGTTGCCAGCTTTCCTCCTCCTTTTTGAGAGGAAAACAACTCAGGTGCATGTACCCGACGTTGCTCTCTTGATGCAAAGAGCGATGTGGCTGTAAGCCACGGCGGGATGCAGTAAGCTGCTCTTCCCACACTTCTGCTGGCCTGACTGCTGTGCTTGGCCTTCTGCAGGACCATCCTCCCCAGTGTGCTCAATAAAAGACCACAGAGTCCCCCTTTCACAGCTCCCAGGAACGCAAAGCCCCTCCATTACTCGGACGACGCTACTTTTAGGGACGTGACAAGGTCGCTTAGCAAGGAAGTTTCCATGTGTTCACCAACAGCCATAAAAGTGATTCCAGCAACACACGGGTTGATATAAAGACATATAAAAGTCCCCGAGAGATATAAAACACAGTCACGAGCTCACTTTGGACTCTCTGGCCTACCGTTTTATGGAGAGAGACGGGTGTTTGGATTTCGGCACCGTTCCCGGCAGCAAAGTGCAGCGGGACAAGGAAGTTGAGTTTGATTTATTTTATTTTTTCCCCTCTCTCCCTCTCACACCTGAGTGGATAGATACGCTGCATCACTGATTTACAGGGGGAAGGGGGAGAAGGATCAAACGTCCCAGCTGCCGATAAGGCGACAGCGCTGCGCGACACGGCGATGGCGATGCCGTGCCCCGCACGGGCGGAGCGGGCGCGGGCAGGGACGCGGGCAGCGCCGGGGGGCTCCGGCCGCTCCGGCCCTGCCAGCACCACTCCCCGGCTCCGGGCTAAATAAAGAAGGAGAAACGGCCTCCTAAAGTACTTTTCTCCCTTTTATACTGCCTGAGCTGGATTGTCAGAGTCAAAAGCCGTGAAGCCCGGACTATTTATTAATTCATCGGGTCGTGTGCCACAAATCAAGCCCAATTCTGTTCAGCCACCGTGAAGCTCAGCAGGGCTGCCTCCACTAACGCTTTGTGTGGAGGCAAAGTTGTTCAACAAGCCCTCTCCTGCCAGCTCCTAATCTCTTCACAAATGAATTGCTTGAAGGAAACACTTAACAGGTACCTGTCAGTGTAAACAACCTGGTGGGCTTCCTAAATGCCAAGTTGATCTCTAAATTCCTCACATCACGCACTGGTTGTGTGCCTGCATTACACGAGATTGCTATTTTATTTCATACAAATTCCAGCTTTATCATACTGACCTGGCCTCCTTATCTCTCTCCCCAATCCAGCCAATGGCCGGGGTGGCGGGGGAGGAAAGGGAGGAAGGGGGGAGCCCTTAGCAAACTGCTGGTGTCACCTGCAAAGTTGAGAACCTGACTTACCTACCTCTGTTTGCGTTCCCCCCCACCCTTCTGGAGTTAATATTAACTAGCGACTAATGCATTCGGCAACCACTCTGCAAGTTTAACGATTCTGTCCATGAAAGATCTCTCCATGGTTGAAGGGCTCCCGAAGCCGGCGTTTAAAGGCTGGGATTTAACGAGAGGGAAGGAGAGGAAAGCAAGGCAGGGAGGCCAGCGGCAGGACCGCACCCCGGGCCGTGCCCGTGAGCGAGGGCAGGCAGTGCTCGCTGCCCGGCCCCGCTCCGCTTCCCGCTCCCTGCCCGGCCCGGGGTGCCGGAGCCCCGCTCGCTCCCCGACCTCGCTCCCCTCTCTGCCCGCGGGTACCCGGCCCTGCGGCCTCCCCGGCCCCGCCGCTCTCAGCCCACCTCCCCCCTTTGTGTCTAAGGCACGGGAACAAGCACCGAAGGGGGGGGGGGGGGGGGGGGTAAAGTATTTGTTTTCGTTTCGTTCGTCTGAGGGAAGTTGACAGAAGGTCAGGAGTTCAGACGCTGCCAGCTAATGCAGCGGGAGCGGCCAGCCGCGTAGCCGGCGCGGCGTGCCCCGGGAGAGCCGCGGGGCCGGGGTCAGCCCGCAGTGCGCCCCCGGCCCGCAGCGCCCCGCTCCCGAGCGTGCCCGGCTCCCCCCGCGCCCGCCGCCCCGCTCCGCTCCGCTCCGCCGCGCACACGCACCGGCGCAGCCGCGCACGGAGGGATGCGCCGAGCCCCGGCGGGAGCCCGTCTCCCGCGGAGCCGCCGCCGCTGCCGCCGGGCTGCGGAGGGAAGGGTGAAACCCGAGCCGCCGCGATCGATACGCGAGGGGAGTAAGTGGAGCTGAAAATGCGAGAGATGCGGCTCCGGAGGCAGCGGGGGCGGAGGAGCGCGGGTGCGCGGAGGGGCGCGGGCCGCGCCCGAGCGGGGACCGGCACCCGCTCCGCTCCGCTCCGCAGCCCTGCGCGGGGCGGCGGCGGCGGCGGGCGGAGGCGCCGCCGCGCTCCGAGGTGCGGTGCGATTTAAGGTGGTCGGGAGGAGATGGTGGCGGCCGCCGGTCCCTCGCCCCGAGAGACCCGGCAACGTGCGGAAAATCAGGCCGAGGAACGGGGAGAGTTTGGGAAATTCCACCCCCCACCCCCCCTTCCCCACGTCCACTCCCCGCCTAGTCCTTCCAGGCGAGTCCTGCTCTAGCACTGAAGGTGGGGCTTAAATGTATTAATATTAAAAAAGCGCTGTTGACCTATATTTGGAGGAAACCCATTTCCAGTGTCTAGATTGCATGTAGTTTCTGAAACTCCGGGATTAGCAGAGCAATTGACTTCGCTGAGCTCTCTGTTGCGCATGAATTATAATTACGAGGTGACTCGGAGCGGTTCTCTTTCTCTCTCTCTTTCTCTCACCTTTATCTTTTTCCCCTTTCTTTCTTTTTGTTCATAAAATAGTTCCGCAATCCGATTCCACCCGAAATCCAATATTTACCCAGTTGTAAACCTTGTGCCATCAGATTTTTTAAAACAGAAGGTGATGCAATGCCGATAAGTTGCAAGTCCCTCCCCTATGGAAGTACCAGAGCATTGGCGGTGAGCATCCTTAAAGAAATATCAATATATTTACGCTCTGATGGGCACAATTGCAAATGATGGTATTGCAATACGAGCTATATAATACGGAATCAGATGAGGAATGGTCGATCCGGCTTCAGCTGCCTTTTGTGAGTGCACGACTGCATGCCTACTAAATTTAGAATACGCTCGCGACAACAATAATAATGATGAAGGTTAAAATGGAATGAAAAGGAAAAAAAAAAGAGAAATTAAATAAAATAAATAGAGAAAAAAATCAAGTCAGCCGGCGCAGCAACCGCGGACTACGTTTGTAATAATGAGTGGGTGGCCTGGCGGTCACTATACACTTGGGGTCCTCTGAGCTGTATGCAATTCGTTTGATCAAAGTGCATCCTTGGGGACAAATGCAAACAGCAATCTCTAACCAAGTTACAGGGAACGCCATGGCACGGTAATGACTGTAAGTATCACACAGATTCCCCCACCAAATATCGAAACAGCTCCGGCTCCAGCCCCGGCTAACTTGGCCGGATAGATGCTATTTACATTCAATGGGGAAACTAGTCGAGTTTGGAGGGGCGGGGGGAGAGGGGGAGAGGGAAAGGGGGGGGCTTTCAAAAATACTAAGACAGATGCGTCCTTTAGGATTGCTCAGAGAGGTTAACAAACACAAATACAGGTATCTCTGTGGCTCTACCTGAGTCATCAGTCTGTCAGCTCCCGTGTTCTCTTCATCCTTAAAAATAATGTCAGGGTTGTAATTTGGGGTTAGTTCTTTAAATCTCTCGGAGTTTCTTGTGATCTTCCCTTCATATCTTCCACTGGCCCCTAGGGTCTTCTCTGCCACATTGGGAATAAACTGCTTATAGGCTAAAGGGGTCAGCTTTTTGGGGTGTCTCCTTTTTCCAATGCCCCTGCCTGGTCCACAAGTCAGCCCAGAGGAGACTAAAAGAGCGCAGATGAAGCCCACCAAGAGAATTCTTGTCAACAGCAGCATTTCGTCCATTGAATCCAATTACTTCAAAGCTCTCTGTGCCTATCCCTGGCTGTCTCTCTAGAGCTCTCTCTCCTCCTATGTCCTTGTCTGCTTTCTGAATCGTATACTATCCACCGATCCCTAGCAAGACAGGTGCTGGAATGGCAGGCTTTAGGTCGCTGATAACGGAACACATCGGAGTTTGGTCGGGAGACAGCAATCGAGAGACAAAAAAAGGGTCTGATTTTAATGGTAGCAAAGCAAGACGCTAGTGAGAGGAGTCTGCCTTTAGTTCTATATTATAGCTGCCAGGGCCGAGAGCTGATTGGCCAAGGCGAGGCAAGCTTGTCTTCTGATGTTAACCCTCAAAAAGGCAACAAATTCTTGAAAGATTTTTTTTTTCCTTTTACCTGAAGGGCTTGGAGCTGAGAGGGGTGGAGATCGCGCTTTCTTGGGATAACATCAATTACATGCTTTTTTTTTTTCTTTCTTTTTTCTTTCTTTTTTTTCTTCTCCCGTTTTTTTTTTTTTTTTTTTTTTTTTTTTTTTTTTTTTTCTCCAAAAACTTTCTTGGCAGAATGGTACGTTTGTCAGCAAGAGGAACAGATGCCTCTCTGAAAGAGGGGAAAAAAAATAAGATTAGCAGGCTGCTTCAGTGCAAATCAAGTTTCTAAGGGCAGTTGTGGTTAAATAAAATGCCGAATTATCGGGGAGCAGTGCAAATAGGAACATACTTGGGTAATATTAACGCCCCGGGGGGGAATAATGCCATTTCAGAGCGCACCCACCTAAATGGCTTTGTAACAGGTTTCTTGCCCCTGAAAAGGGAGATTGCTCTCCCTCCCAAAGACATACATTTTTAAACACACTCGCCTTTTAGCTGATAAATGACCACTTTAACAGCAGAAACAGGTCTGATGCGAAGCGGCAGTTAAATGAAGTTGGTGTGTCTGACTTGTGTATCACACAACTGCAGAGTGGCACTTTTTTTTTTTTTTAAATAAAATCAGGACTATCACCCAGTTTAAAATAACGTTGTATCTTCGGAAGTGCACGAACAGTCAACTGATTAAAAATAGATGGTCTCCTGAGCACGCTGGGGCTATATTCTTTGTTTCTTTGGTCAAAGTCGGAGAGGAGCGTTTTAGACTCTTACACCTCCTTGCGGGGTGTCATTAAGTTTTTAAGAAAAGCATAGTGTTGAAAGCATCCGCAAACACAATTAACAGAGATCGATCCAAGCAAAGTGAATGGAAAGGGGATAAGTTTAATGTTAAATTAATTGTTATCTCATGCAGCGTGGCAAGTGATGTCTTTATCCCGATCTCCAAAAGCTACTAATCAGACAAAGGTGTTGAGAGACGAGCAAAATTGCAGAGATGAGGCCGATAGAGCAGGTTAGACAGAGCAGCAGAGTTCCATATGAACAAACACTTCTCTGCCTGCAAAGTGCTCATTTGCTTTTCCTCCTAAGAAAATACAATTTGTCCTAGGATCTAGAAAGTTTCAGGAGTTTTTTAGGAGTTCTTAGAAATTCCAGGACGGTGTGCTAAAGTAATTCAAAGTCCACTTTCTCAGAAAAACAAAACACATCCAAAGAAATAAACTTTATTTGAGTTGAGGAGTTTAAAAAGAAAAAGAGACAGAAAAAGGAAAAAAAGAAATAAAAAGAGCTCTTTGGTGTGAAAAACTAGATGGAAGTTTTCTAGTCTGTGACATTGAGCTGAGTAGTAATCAACTTAAACCCTGAAAATGGATTTTAAAATCAGTTTTTATGTGGTAAAAAAGTTGTATATCCGTAAACTGCAACAAACAGGTCAGCACGGACTTTTCAAGGGACAAAGTAGTCTTTTCAGGTAAACTTCAGAAAAGAGGCGAAAGAAGTGGTCCGAAGTGGTCTCATGCCGATTCTAACTGGTGCTCTTTCATCTTTTTTAGCCTATGCTTTTCTTCTGCTATTTATGTTTCTTTGTGGAGTTTCAGTGAGTCGTCGATTTCTCTTTCCGACCTTTAAATTGAGGAGTTTTGACTTGGAAATGGGTAAAAAGTTAGAAAGTCAGTAGCTTGGCTCCTGGGTTGTTATCAACCAACTTAGTTGCAGAAACAAGTTGTATAACAGCTAAATACCTGCTTCATGCTATTAAAAAACAAACTTAAGTTTTATCTCCCCGTCTGCGTGCATGCGAGAAGACAGATACAAGGAATATATAATTTATACAAAAGAGGGTATGTTCTTTTGATGTGGTTGCCTAAACAGCATGACTTGATATAACAGTTGATTAAACAGCGCCAAGGAATAAAAGCTATTCTTAATGGTGCGGAATACTGCAAAACTTTTATCACCCCTCTTACCTTGTCCCCCTCCCCATGGAAAGAAGATCGATATCCCAGGCACTGGATGGGTGGACATCGCAGTGAAGAAGTCTAGAGAATAAGGACAAACTCCCTCATTATCAGATTGCCATATGTACAAAGCAGTCACCCAAAGATTAACAGGGAAAGGAAACGCAAAGAAGGAATTAATTAAATGCAAGTAATAAATGTGCGGAGGGGGGGGGGGAAGGGAGAAATCAAGAAAAGTTGTAACTGTGGGAAGCTCGAAATCCCCCTCCTATCAAATTAGATGTGAAAGAAAGCAGAGCTGGGGGAGCGGGGAGGCTCTGCTCAGCCTCAGCGCAGGCTGGAGCTGGCGGCGGCCCCGCCGGGAGCCGGGCGGGGGGAGCCGGGGGTGCGAGGGGGACACCGGGGGAAGCCGGGGGGGAACCGGGCCGGCGCTCCCGCCCGCCCCGCCGAGCCTCCGGGATGCGCCCTGCCTCTCCTCCCCACCAGGAGCTTTTCTTCTTTCTTTTTAATTATTATTTAAATGCCTCAGCTTCTGGGAAAACAACAGCCCCCGAGTCCCCGCTCCGCGCTGCCGGCAGCGCGGGGGGCGGGGGTCCCGGCCCTGCCCCCGGCCCGCCGGCCCAGCCCCGGCCCCGGGCTGCGGGGAGCCCCGAGCCGAGCCGAGCCCGCCCCACACCTCCCACAGCAAACACCCCAGAGCTGCAGCAGCCCCCGGCCGGCACCGACGCCTTCCTTGGAGGGTCCAGAACCCACAGCCACCGCTGTCCCCATGGGTCCCGGGTCCTGCAGGGCTGCCCAGCGTGAGGGTGCCGGGGAGGCCCCTGAGCGAGGCCCCTCAGTGGAACTCCCCGGCTCCGCTGCCCTGCCCACAGCGCCAGGTCCAATGTGGAGCTCCTCACAGCCCCCAACGCCCTGCTGCAGTGCTGGGGACCCTGGGTCATCCAGACCCTGATCCACACCACAGTCTCAGGAGCATCCACTACGGACCCCACTGAATCCCAGTGCAGGTACCCAGCACAGCCCCATGGCCCTGCACTCCTCGCTGACACACGGGCTCTTCCAGGCTCAGCCAAACCCATTGAAGCTCCCACTGTGGTGGAGCATCCACTATGGACACCCCCGTGAGTCCCAGTGCAGGCGCCCAGCACAGCCCCACACCCCTCGCTGGCACACAGGCTCTTCCAGGCTGAGCCAAACCCATTGAAGCTCCCACTGTGGTGGAACATCCGCTATGGACCCCACTGAGTCCCAGTGCAGGCACCCAGCACAGCCCCATGGCCCTGCCCTCCTCGCTGACGCACAGGCACTAACAGGGGTTCAGCCAAACCCATTAAAGCTTCTGCTGTGGTGGAGCATCCACCATGGACCCCAGTGAGTCCCAGTGCAGGCACCCAGCACAGCCCCCTGGCCCCACACTCCTCGCTGACACACAGGCTCTTCCAGGGGCTCAGCCAAACCCACTGGGAGCTCCCACTGTTGTGGAGCATCCACTATGGACCCCAGTAAGTCCCAGTATCAGTACCCAGCACAGCCTCATGGCCCCACACCCCTTGCTGACACACAGGCTCTTCCAGGGGCTCAGCCAAACCCATGGAAGCTCCCACTGTGGTGAGCATCCCCTATGGACCCCAGCGCAGTCACCCAGCACAGCCCCATGGCCCCGCACTTGTCACTGACACACAGGCTCTTCCAGAGGCTCAGCCAGACCCACTGGGAGCTCCCACTGTGGTGGAGCATCCACTAGGGACCACAGGGAGTCATGGTGGCATGGATGGGGCCATTGCCAGCACTGTCCTGGGCCATCCCTACCCAGCCTGGGCTGCAGAGGGGCACTGATGGATGCACCCAACTCCCAGACAAGTTATTTGAGAATCAGATGTTATTTACCTTATTTTTTATGAAATCCAGATTTGCTGATGGCTGTAGGCTTTGCATAAAGCTAAGGAAGGGTTCAGAGTGTGCAAGAGAGGTTGCTCTTTGGCCATTTGAAGTTTCCAGATTTCCCTTGCACTGATATATTTTTGGTTGATGAATGATACAGAAAACTACACAAGCAAATGCTGTGTGACTTTTAACTGGATCTCAGCTATTTATCATCCTTAATAGCCAACATTTGTCCTCATGTATAATTTTTAAAATAAATTATCTATTTTTAGAGCATGAAACCTTGTAGCCTCTTTGCACCTGTGGCGCTTCCCAAGAAATTTGGGATCACAGCAATCAAGAAGCAGATAATGAATAACTGCAGTGAAAACAGAGGTTATACTAGAGTAAAACTGGTGTAAATAGAAGGACACTCAGGAAGGATTTTCACCTGAAGTTTTGTTTGATTCTTTTATATACCCCACCCTCCTTCATGGCAGTGTTAACCCATTTTCTTTAAAGGAATTGGTGCACGTCCTTGTTGCCCATCCTTGTGGTATTGCAATACCTATCTTGAAAGTCAACTTGGAAATTTCAGTTCAGAATTACTGGCTAGCTGGCACCTCTATCATGACAAGCAAAACAAGTCTTGTTCTTTGGTGTTTTCTTCCAAAAATGCCAAAACCCTGGCACCAACAAGAAAAATTAAGCTTGTAGTTTTCCACACATTTTGCTTTGACAGTAAAATTCAGGGAGCCATGCAGATGAAACCTGGTATTGCTTTGCTGTGCCCTTAGTCAGGCAGCAGTCTGTGAACATTTCTGGTACAAGAAAAAAACATTTTGTGTGTATGGAGAAGTAGAAAATATTTGCTTTCCAGAATAACTGTGCATTGATTTTGCAGTTTTTATATCCATTTGCTAGTGGATTAATGCTGATCATTGTCTTGGATATGGTCAATAGAGCCTTTCATCATACATGCAAAAATTTTTGTAGGCAGAATGATTCATAAGACATTGTTATCTAGGTTTTGTTGTGT